CTAAATTGATTGTGTATAATATGTATTTTCGGTTGTGTTTGAGCTTAGGGACCAAACTGTTTATATAGAACCAAACTCACATCAAGCTATGGCTATAGTTATCTTCCAATTGATGGTGAAATGTATTTCATTAATGTTGGTGAAATAATTCCATTAATGCTGAATTGAAATCAGTAAATGTTGAAACTGAAACCATGATGTTGGACCATTAATAGAAAAAGAAACGGATGTGATACACCTGGACCTACATTAATGTTTAGTAGCAATTAAATCCACATTACAAACAATAGCAGAGGCTAAAACATTTGGTTATGAGTTGGATTTATTTCTCACTTACAGAGAGAAATGTGTCAGATTGTAGGATACAATAGAGCTGTTAGCAAAAGGAAAATTAGGCACTCCAATTCTTGAACCTGTTGCAAGTATTGGCCTACTCTTCTTTCTTTTCTTGGTGGGTTTTGAACTCGATTTATATTTCATTTGTCAAAACCGCGTCGACTAAATTACAATTGCTACGAGAGCTTTTAATGACATGATAGCTTGGATTTTATTTGCCCTCGCCATTGCTCTTGTAGTTGTTGGAATCGAAAAGGATTAATTTTTCTATCAAAACTTTTATCAAACCCTTCATGTGCATATAAATCCTCCATGTTGAAATCAAAGAGAAGATTAGAAGCGGAAGCATACCTTGATCCATGGATGTGATTACTTGAGTGGATTATAATCTTCCAATTGATACGTAATTCCTTAGAAATTTTTCTCTATTGATGGAGATGCAGAGAGATAGAAAATCCACATTCAATTGGGAACCATGACTCATGATATATAACTAAATTAAGCAATTATTATCATTCAGTTCTTTTAAATTGACCCCTCATCAATTTAAAATAACTATTCTGGTCTTTACACTTTATTTCCATGACATTTAATACCCATTAGTCCACACTTGTCTTTATTAGATCACTTTAATGACTAATCTNACCCATTAGTCCAAAATTAACTTTAATTGATCACTTTATTGACTAAATTTTAAAATAGCACCACACATACATACGCACACACAAAAAACTTTATGAACTCAAAATCTTGCTATCATTATTAAGGGTATTTTCAAACAATCTTGTCCATCAATTATATTGATATAAAATCAAAGTGATTTTCGTCACATTTAGTGTAATTAAATCTATCAATGGTCATATACACTCATACAACCAAATGACATAGATCAATCATGAGAGTGTAGTATGAAAATTACATATTATGTGATCTAAACATGTCTATTTCCAACTGGTCAAATACTGAACATTATAACAAAATGAAATGAATCGAATACTCTATTTCTGTACAGTTTTATCCAAATACACAAATGTATCTAAAACATAAAGCAACGAGACTATAAACTCTCACCAAAATATGATATCCTCAAGAAATACAACACCCATACGAGCAGTGTGCTCATAAAAGACCTTAGGTGGCAATCCTTAGTAAGTGAATCCACAATCATGGAGTTTGTCCAAATGTGCTCTATAAAAATCTGTCCACTCTGTATTCTTTCCTTCA